ATGCAAACAAGCACCTCATGGACAGCATCAATGTATGCAACAGGAATACCTGGAATGATGTAGTCTGTCTCCTGTGCCCTAAACAGCGTCACGAGTGACATGAGCCACTCGAGACACTGCTTGTGGCGCTCCGCTCTCCCAAGCTCCCACTCGTCTGGCATGAAGAGCCTCACTCCCACCAGGGAGTCCAAGTCCTTGAACTGCTTGCTGAGGTTTCGCACGAGCGTCTCGGCGAACGTGGTGCAGAGATCGACGCAGGCGACGTGAGTGCCGAGGGTTGGGTAATCTTCGCTTGGGTTCTCGTGCAGCTGGAAGGTGTGTGTAGTCGGCCGACCGTCAGAGTCCACTCCCTGCACCTTCACCTCGGGGCGGCCCCCCTCAGGCCCGTGCTTCTTGATGAACGGGGAGAGGCACGCTCTCATCCCGCCTCCGAAGTCGTCACCGCAGTCGACATAGCAGGACTCGAGGAACGACAAAGATCTCCTGATCTGCGCATGGACACCTGCAATGTCAAGCTATTAGAGGCCGATAGGCAAAAGACAGAGGGTGAAAGGAAGGCAAAATCAGTGCAATGCAGCAGATGTTGAGCTCTAAATCAAACCATAAACAAACACAAACAGAAGCGAAGCACACAATACAGGGACATCTTGGGAGGTACAGCAGACGCTGTACAAAGAGATGCTAGTAACCCTGCTCACCTCTCGCTGCTGGAATGCCCTACTCAACACGTTGAGCTGCTCGAGCACGTCTGCAAGGAAGTACAATAGGAAGTGAAATCTGTAGTCGGTGGCGAGCTCGTACAGTGTACTGTCCCACTCATACAGCATAACGATGAGCGCGGGGAAGACCTCTACCGCGCGTAGAATGGCGTCACCCCTGGAGAGCCACCGGACTTGGTGAATCCTTCGGAGCTCCAGGTTCGTGGCTGTGAACACTTCCTGAAGCAACATGAACCATTGGTGCCAAGGGCCAGAACGCCCCAGATGCTCAGCCACCTGGCGGAGCAGCGAGTCCACCATCTCGAACTCGGGGAGTGCTTCAGTTGCATCCTTTGCTGTGAGCGCTTCCTTGAGTTCACAACAAAACACAAACCGCAGCAAAACAGTGCATGAGCACAAGCTGCTACAGGTACACCAGAGAAGCGCAAACACAACCGTTGCAGACATGCGAGAACACAACCGCACACACAAGCGCTAACACAATTGCAAAAACAACCGCAAACAAAAGAACAAACACAAGCGCAAACACAACGTACCTGTGGGCGATGATGCAGTGGCTTGAGACAAGATGCGGGATGCGGAGGCGAAGTCGAGCGACAACATCGTTGTTTTTGCCCATCATCACACTCGCTCCGTCAGTGCTCATGCCGGAAATCCTCGCAAGATCAATGCCGAGGGCCTGCAGGTGGGACAGGAACACTGAGAGGAGAGAGGCGGCATCGCACTTCTCCACAGTCAGCAGCGCAAGGAACTCAGTGACGATATGGTTCTCACGGATGAACGTTGCAAAAATAATCATGTGCTTTCCCCGACATCTGTCCGTGCTCTCGTCACATGTGACGCCGAGAAATGGGCTTGAAAGGATGTGCTGCAGTTGCGTTGTGTGCAACCACGTGGCCATCGACTGTGTTAGCTGCCCGAATCCGTATCTGCAGCGCATATCAAACAAGACAATGATTCAGAATAAGTTGTGAAACACAACCACGGCTTAAGTGCTTGGAAAAGGTTACTCACGTCGTGTAATAGGTTCCATAGCCTTTCGTGGGGAAACCAGGAACCTTAAGAGACGCGAGGTAGCGAACAAGATTCACCCATAACTCTATGGGTGCATCTTGCTTGGTGACAAAGATGAGGGAGTCCAGCAGCTTGATGACACGTTCCTTCTCGGTGGCGCGAGCAAGATTGTCGTCGTTGATCCGTGGCTGCCTGGCAGCTTCCGAGAGAAGATTTTCCTGGTGCTTGAAAGCCTCCTTGTGCTTGGTTGTTGCAGCATGCCTTTTGAACGCATGCGTCTGAACGTCTGTGGCGCCCTTTCCGCCTCTCCCGCACGGTCCAGCGTAGCCTGCGTGCTCCGTACAGATGCTGCACTTGAAAGCAGGAAGACCGTCAGCAGGTTTTAGCAAAATGAGCCAAGAACACCTATCTAGCCCCTCGCTTTTGTACTTATACAGGGCCTCCGCGTAAATCGCGTCAGGGCCTGCCGGTTTAGAAGGCCCTGGAACTGATGGCGACACCTGCGTGCTTGCGGTCGCGGGCGTCGACCGTTGGTCGGCTGGTGAAGGCGGAGTAGCTCCGGCGTTACTGAGAAAATAGTAGTAAGAAGATCAAGTTTAACTAGGGCCTAGGCTTAGGAGCCTAGGCCCAACTAGGATGTCGAGTAGTTTGTGCCTAGGGTGAGAGTCGAGAAAGTTGGAAAGGATGGTTTCACTATAGGTTTCGAAGAACATATAGCAAAGGAAACAAATAAGGTGCACCACCAAACAAAGTTTATAATAACTACACTAACTACAGCTACAGGCAGTTACAAATATAAGTTCTGACACTCCCCCATAACTGCCTGCATCAGGAGTTTGTGCAGAATACAACCTGCAGGGGTACACATGCAAAATAATAAACAAGCAACAGCAGGTACTGCAGGCGGGCTAACACTAGCTGGTCACCCCCTCCATCTCCTCACCCTCCTCCTTCCCTTCCCCCACACTGCTGCAGGAGCAGCAGAGAAGGGGGGGAAGAGAGGAGAGGTGGAGGGACGGCTGCTGGTTGCCTCACACCCGCCACCCCGGTGCCACTCCCCCGTCTCCCCCACACCCTCACACCCTCCCCCCCAGCGGCAGCTGCAGCAGTGGGAACGAAAGGAGGAGGAGGGGAAGGGAAGGATACGACCCAACGCTCCAACACCCGCCACCCCCATACCCTTCCCCCCACGGCTGCAGGGAGACAAAGGAGGAGGGGGTGGGCGGGAAGAAAGCCGCAGAGCGGCTACAATGTGTCGGCGCAGGTAGGTCAGGGGCGGCTGCAGTGAGAGCAGGTGCGGAGAGGCGCTTCGCGTGCCACGGGGCGCACGACAGGTAAGTTTAAGGTAAGGGCACCGTCGTGTGCCTCGGGGCGCACGACGAGCAGGGCACCGTCGCGTGCCACGGGGCGCACGACGGGCAGGTTTAGGGCACCGTCGCGTGCCACGGGGCGCGCGACGGGCAGAGTAGGAGTCACTCGCCAACCGGGGGCGGGACAATAGAAAATCGCCACGCGCCCTAGGCGCGCGACCGGAGAAACGTAGCAGCGGAAGCATGAGGCGGGCCCACAGGCCAGGACGTAACTCGCTCTGATAGCATGAGAAAATAGTAGTAAGAAGATCAAGTTTAACTAGGGCCTAGGCTTAGGAGCCTAGGCCCAACTAGGATGTCGAGTAGTTTGTGCCTAGGGTGAGAGTCGAGAAAGTTGGAAAGGATGGTTTCACTATAGGTTTCGAAGAACATATAGCAAAGGAAACAAATAAGGTGCACCACCAAACAAAGTTTATAATAACTACACTAACTACAGCTACAGGCAGTTACAAATATAAGTTCTGACAGTTACCACCCATCTTGCACCATGGCAGCGTTGACTGGGTGTGTCTGGCGTTCTTCTTAGCCACTGGAACCGCCGCAGTTTCTTCAGCAGAAGGCGAAGAGCTGTCTTGCTCTAGAACAGGCGCTGTAGGTGACGCACACAACCCCTCATCCATGGATTCGAAAGGAATAAAGTTGGGCGGTGCGACTGCAGGTGCCTTTTCATGGTTTTCGACTTCCGCAAAGCTGGAGAAAAGCAGATCCAGGCCGGTAACAGCGGCGGAAACATCTACTGGCGAACGACGATGCGCATCATCGCCTTGGTCGCCAGAGCTGCCTTGCTCGTCCAGGGTCCGCCATAGCTTGCAGCGCGACTAAGCAGCATCTAACGAAAGGTACGTTCCAGCCAAGCTAGAAAGAGGATAGCCAGGGAAACCACACGACTGACTGGCTCTTGGTATACCAGTCACGAACACGACGATGGGAGCATGGATGGCAGGTAGGTGGCGTGGATGCATCAGTGCTTGCCAACACGACCTAGACAAAACAGTTCACAGGACCACAAGCGCAAGCAATGGGCCAGAAACCCTCGCATCACTGCCTGCCAGCATCGCTCTGTTGCAACTTTGTCATTGGTCAACCCACATAATGCTCCAAAAGTGGCCAATGATCACCCCAAGCGTGTCAGCAAAGCAGCTCTCCAAGTGAAAAACACGGGGCAAATTTGTCTGATAGTCAACGCCAGGCGGTGCTGCCACCGTGGGAATTTGAGATTCCCTGTACTTCCGGGCAACTACTCTCGGAACGTGAAGATATCGCATTCAGTGTCAGTTTCGTTACAATGTAGTGCAATCGGTGTCCCTTAAAAAAACCTGAAAGTTCGGAGTCATCTAGACCCTAAAGGCTGGAAAATCAGTCCCCCAAAAAGCTGAACACTGGAAAACCAGGGTAGGTACAAAAGAATCCCTGTAAATCAGGAATTTCAGGGAAAAATTCCTGATACCGGTATCAAGGGCCTGGTAACGCTCATGATCAACCCTAATTTTCAGAGTTCCCAAAAAAACAACTCTGAAAATCCTAGTGAAAAAAAAAAAAAAAAAAAAAAAAAAAAAAAACCCTGCTGGTACCATAACCTTAGTAGTTTTTCCACCTTGCAACCACCGACACAGAGACTGGCGGCAGCACTACATAAATAGGCAAGCCCAGAGAAGCCTGCAAGAGCACAAACACACACACACACACACAAGTATACGGAGAAACCATGGTTGTGCAGAGGCTGGGCTGGGAGGGACCTATCCACATCTATGAGCCATAGCCCACGCCCCATCACAACCAGCAACCTCCCATCCACCACCCAACCCCCTTCCTCTCCCTCCTCCTCCCCCCCTTCCCCCCACTCTCCCCCCCTTCCCCCTCCCCATCCCATGCCCCCTTGATCGCTGCCCGCTCACCCTCATCTCCCCCCCCACCCCCCACCCCCGCCCATGCCCCGCCCGCCCTCCATTTCGCTGATCTGATCCCTCCTGCTCGGCCCGAGCAGCCTTCCCTCCTCCTCGCCCTCCCTCTCGCGCAGCGCCTGGCGGTGCTCTTGCTGCGCCTGCAGCAGGCGCTGCTGGTGGTGCAGGTGGTGGTCGTCGTAGCGGAGGAACGTGGGCTGGCTCGTGGACGACAGCAGCCGCGCCCACATGCGGTCCGTGAGAGACACTGTGTTGCTCTTCTCCGAGACACACTGTTGGGGGGGGGGGGGAGGGGGGGGGGGAGGAGGGAAAGAGGGAAGCAGGAGAGCGGGAGGACAGGAGGGCAGGGGCAGGGGTAGGGGCATGGGCAGGGACAGGAAAACAGAGACAAGGTCAAGGCTGGAAATGGAGGCACCCAAGCGGCAAGCTTGCAGACCAAACACCAAACACCAAACACCAACACCAATGGCCCATGTTCCAGGCATCATTAGAAGCAGCAGCAGCAGCAGCAGCAGCAGCAGCAGCAGCGGGCTTACCTTGATGGGGATGTAGGCGTGGCGGCCGTTGATTGGGCCGACGGTGAAGCCAGTGAAGCCTGCCATGGAGCCGTGGATGGCGCTGTGTGCCAGCAGCGTGCAGTAGATGTTGTCACTCGCATTCGCCGGCACCGCTCGAATCATGTACGTGGGGTCTGGTGCACGGGGTGCACGGCGGGGGGGAGCGGGGGAGAGAGCAGGGAGGAGATGGGGAGGAGAAGGCGAGGAAGAGGTGAAGCGCACGGAAGTGGTGATTTCTTTTGAGCCGACTCAGTAGTATGATGTATTTGTGGACGGTGGGGAGGGGGGTGGAAAGGAGGCGAAGGGTGCGGAGGGAAGGGGACGGATGGAGAAGGATGGAGGTGCCTTGTATGTGGTTGAAACATGCACAGCACACGGCAGATCCATACAGGAATTTTGGAGGGCGATGAAAAACGGGCGAAGATATGTTCATGAAAGCGACGTGAGTGTGTCCCTGAGTATGTATATACTACTATGTATGGGAAAGGATCATTTGAGGCGCCTCAAAGATGTGCATCCATGTGGAATGTGGCACAGGCCGGCACGCACGCACCAATGTATTTGAGGTTGAGCTCTATGCGAGACTTGGCAAAATGTGCCTGCATGTGATGAGGGGCGATCCAACCACCCATGCACCCAACCAAGCAGACAAAACCAAACGGGGGAAAGCAAACATTGTTGGAAAAGAACAAGAGGATGTTAGGTGCGGGGACACTAAATGCGTGAAATAAGGACACAGAATGCGACACAGATCTTAGATGCTGTTTGAGTTGGAGGGAAACACACAACCTGTGCTTCGCCATACAACCATCCCTTCCTCTCTATCTCCATCCTCCCCTTCTGCTGCTTTTCCACCCCTTAACAACCTCTTCCTTTGTCCCAAAGCATCCCACCCCACTCTTCCATCCTCCCCTCTCTCAACCCCAACCTCCAAACCTTCCCCATTCCGCTTTCCCCCTCCCTTAGCGTTTCCCCTCCCCCTTCCGTTTCCACTTCCCCCTTCCGCTCTCCCCTTTCCCTTCCCCTCCCCCTCCCCCTCACCTTGATCTGCTGGGACAGCCACAGCCCAATATCCATCAGTCTCGCATTCCCCGACTCGTCAGTCAGCCCTCTCCTGGCCATCCCCCCTGCCGCCGTCGCCATACCCCCCGCAGCCGCCGCCACAGCCGCCGCCGTCACCGCCGCCGTCCCCCCTCCCCCCATCCCGTCCATGCCCATGCCCATGCCCATCCCGCCGCCGCCCCCCATTCCTGCGAGCGCACTCGGCGAGGACGCCGACGGGAAGGGCGCCGACGCAGCAAAGGACGAGGAGAACGGAGAGTGCGAGGAGGAACCAGAGGGGGAGAGCTGGAGATCTAGAGCCTCTGCCATGATGTCTTGCCCCGCGCCCTCCGCCACCACGAGCACGGCATGGCCACTCTCCCGCAGGCGCCGCTTGAGGAACTCAAACAGCCCGCCGTCGCCCTCCAGGTGGAACGGCACCTCGGGAATGAGACAGCAGTCCTGTGAGTGGGGGCAGAGGGTTGGGGAAAGGAGGGGTTGGGGCAGAGGCCGTGGGGGAGCGGCAGGGGATAAGGCAGCGCTTGAAGAACTCAAACAGCCCGCCGTCGCCCTCCAGGTGAAACGGCACCTCGGGCATGAGGCAGCAGTCCTGTGCGGTACGGTGGGGTGGGGAAAAGGGGCAGAGGCAGTGGGGCAGCAGTGGGGGGTTGATGGGGCGCAGTGGGGGTTGCAAGCCAGGTGGAACGGCACCTCGGGAATGAGGCAGCAGTCCTAACAGTGGGAGGGGGCGTACGTGGGGGGAGGAAGTTGCGGGGTTGGTGTAGGGATGGTGTGGGGGTGATGGGAGTTGCGGGCGAGGGGGGGGGGGGGGGCAGGGATGAGTGCGATTACAGGGGGGGAGAAAGAGGGTTTCGAGACGAGCAATTTCCAACGTGTTGAGACCTTTGAGGTACGCAAAGCAGGGGAAACGCAAATGGGACGTGAGGAGGATTGAGACATCTCATATATATGCGAACGGAGACGGGCTCTGGGAAACACAGAAGGGAGCGAGGATGAGGAGCTAGTGGATTTGGGGCAGCGAGGGACGGAAGCTGTGCAGCACCGGAGGTGAGTCGGTCTGTTACAATTCGCACTAATTATGTTCAACTTTGAAAGAATTGAACGGATTTCATTTTGGATTGGCAGCAGCACATACCACGTCTCGGCTGGCAAGTGTTGCATGCATGGCAATTTGACCTGAACACACACACAGCACACGAATGAGAAGGCAGGAGCGAGATGAGATGAACGAGATGAAGTGAGTGGCAGTGGAGGGTGGAGGGACACAGGTCACACCAGAAAGAGCAAAATGAGTGGTAAGGCACAAGATAGTAAACAAGATTATTCCAAACAGAACAGAAGAGGCGGAATAGCTCGAATCGAACCAGCCCACCAGATGCACCACCCCCTCCCAGGTCCCATAACCCCCTCTCAACCCTCTCCTCCCTGCCCCACGTGAAAAGGCATACGTCAGCCTGAAATAACCCCCCCCCCCCCCTTCCCCCACCCCCCTTTTGCCCCGCCCCTTCGCCCACCTCCTCCTACAGCCAAACTACCCCGCCCCTCTCACCGCAGAAGCGCCCCATGAGCTTGACGAGCCCCACGCCATTGTGCACGGAGCTGGCCTCCACGTGTGCGGCGTTGATGGCGCGCTGAGCCTCCTCCACGGCCGTGTCGAAGCCAAACGACTTGTCTATCAGCGCCAGGTCGTTGTCTATTGTCTTCGGGATGCCCGCCACCGTCACCTTCAGCCCGCGCGCTGCTATCTCCTGTGGGGGGTGGGGGAGGCAGGAGGGAGGAGGAGTGAGCGAAAAGGGAGGGTGGGAGAGAGGGAGAGCGGGGAAAAGGAGGAAGGGGAAGGAGAGGATGTCGAGATGGGGGAGAGGATGTCGAGATGGGGGAGAGGATGTCGAGATGGGGGAGAGGATGTCGAGATGGGGGAGAGGATGTCGAGATGGGGGAGAGGAGGGTCGAAAAGCCAGAAGAAGAAAGAAAGACAGAAACAGTGAAATAAAAAAAAGCAACGACAGAGATGGGTGGGGTGGCGGTGAGTGTGTGTGGGGAGGTGGGGGAGAGTACTGAGGAATGGAGGGGAGGAGAGAAAATTGAGCCAAGGTTTTCAGAAAAGCGGAAATAGCATACGAGACAAGCTCTCATAGGCAAGGTTTTGGCAAATCCTGTGAGTGGTTCTTGAGAAGTTGATGGTTTACGAGGCAGGTTTAAGAAGAAAGAACATGTATGAGCGGGGCGTAATACCTCGTGGATTTTCTCGGCGCCTCTTTGCGTGCCATCCCCTCCAATCACATAGATCTGCCATGCACACATGCACACATACCACATGCACACATGAAAGCACAAACAGGATCCATGCTCATGCCCACACCCATACATCCATGAACACAAGCACAAGCATAGGCACACACACAAACACCCACACTCATAACCGCACCCACCCCGCACACACACGCACAGGCAATTGCACACAAGATTAGGCGCCCACAACAAGCGTGAGAGCAGGCATTCATGATTGCGTTGGCTCCATGATTCATCATAATTGCGTTTTGGACATCCACTGCGTTGCTACATGATTCCCATTACACTGTGCGGCCAGTGACACACGTTCCAATCCGGCCCAGTTGCTCTGCTCTGCATGCATGCACAAATTTAGTCTCCACACATCTCCAACACACGATCCAATAGCTGAATACATGCTGCTTCCACCACACCACACAATACCACACCACACCACACCACACCACACCACACCACACCACACCACACCACGCCATGCCAGCGAGCGCACCTGGTTGATACCGCGGTCCTCGAGTGCGTTGACGATCTTGTTCACCTCGTGCCCGCCGCGCGACGTCATCCTCCCCTGTCCCCCTTGCCTGCGAGTCCCCCCTCCCCGCGGATTGCCCATGAATAATCCCCACCCCACCCTCTCCCCTCCCCCCCTCGGCGTGCAACACACCTGGTTGATACCGCGGTCCTCCAGCGCGTTGACGATCTTGTTCACCTCGTGCCCGCCGCGCGACGTGCCCAGGAACGTGCCGCCGCGCTTGTGAATGTCGTTGACCACCTTGGGGTTCAGCGACACCACGTTGCGCGAGTAGATCCCTCGGTACCCGCCCTGCACGAGCGCGCGGATGGGAAGGGGAGAAAGCGGCGGGGAGGGAAGGGGAGGGGAAGGGATGGGAAGGGAGAGGAGAGGAGGGGAGGGGAGAGGGGAAAGAGGAAGGAACAGAGCTGGAGACAGACTCATATACACCCGCCCCGCCACCACTCCCATGTATCCTCCCCGGCACTCCTATCCACAATCCCATTACCTTCCCCCCTTACCCCTGTCTCTTCCCTTTTCTCCCGCCCTCTCTCCCCCTTGCCCCCCCTCTCCCCGCCCACGTGCGCACGTCAATCCCGAGGATGTCGCGCACGCCGTACTGGAACCAGAGCCCCCACACAAGCTCGCGGATGACCGTGTTGATGCCCGGACACAGCCCGCCGCACGTCACGATCGCCGCGCGCACCTCGTCCGGGTGGAACACGATCTGCTCCGCGCGCGCGTACGCATGCGGGAGGCGGGAGGCGGGAAGGCGGGGAACGGGGAGGGCGGAGACGGGAAAGGGTGGATAGTTTTGCATGCGCTTCGAAACACGGTAGCACGCACGCGACCTCGTTTAAGGTGAAACGAGATCTGAGGCGCGCAGGCGGGAGGTGGGGAGGGGCGGTTGGCGGGTACACACAGGACTGAGCGACTGGGTGTGAAGATGCGAGGGGAGGGATGCCTGGAGGAGGAATTCGAGGGGGAGAAACGCGAAACGAGGGGTCGACACGAAGAGGTGAAGGGAATGCTAGGGAGGAAGAAAGGCGAGGGCGGACGGCGGCGGAGAGGCGGAGGGGCGGAGTGGCGGAGGGGCGGAGTGGCCGAGTGGCGGAGGAGCAGGCGGACCTTTTCTCTGGGGCCGGCTTTGCGGAAGAAGACTCCAGTGCCGATGTTGTTGATGGACGTGATGACGTCGCGACTCACCACCTGATCCTCCTCCACGAAGAACGTCCTGATGTAAGCACGCACACGCACACACACACACACGGGCAGAGACGGGCAGAGACGGGCAAACATGGGCAGACACGGGCAGACACGGACAGACACGGGCAGAAACGGACAGACACGGGCAGACACGGACAGACACGGGCAGACACGGACAGACACGGGCAGACACGGGCAAGCACGGGCAGACACGGGCAAGCACGGGCAGGCACGCGCACGAACGCGAAAACGCGAGGACAGGGCAGCGCATGGAAATTGGAAGGTGAGGGCGCGAGGATAACGAAAGCAACGAGACGAGGAGATTCGAGGTCGGAGGAATTGCAGTAACACCCACTGCGGCTACAGCTATGGCTACAGCAGACGGTTACAGGAGACGGCTACAGCAGTCGGCTACAGCAGTCTGATACAGCAGACGGTTACAGCAGACGGCTACAGCAGACGGCTACAGCAGACGGCTACAGTGAGCAGCAGCAGCGGTTGTGGCAACGAGGTGCAGGTACTCACTCCACGTGTGCGTATGCGGGGTTGCGCTGCAGCGGACTTGGATACAACTGCGCACAGCCGCAAGGGGATGGGGAGCAGGGGAGAAGAGGAGGAAGGGGGGGAGCGAGGACAAAGGGGGAGCGAAGACAGGGGGTGGGCGACGGGAGTGGCAAAGCATTGAAAGCACGGTCCGTGCGACTCTTAAGGAAGGGAGGTGAAGTGATTCGAAAAGAACGAGAGACGAAAGACGGAGGAAACGGAAAGAACGCCACGGGCAAAAACTGCTAGCACGAACCCCTTGACTGCGTCCACACGAGAATCTGAAGCATGCAACAGCACGTAACATAATATATTCCTGTTCTTTGTTCCTTTTTTTTTTCTTGTCTTGTTTATTTCCCTTTCCCAAGCGTCTGACAATCTATACGTACCCGGAGATCGGGGATCCAGTTCGCAAGGTGCGGCACGTCTTCGATCACGGGACGCGTTTCAAGCATTGCGGGTAGACTGTCCGTCTGCACAGGCACCGGTAGCGTCGTGTTTGGATCGACCTCGACCTCCGCCACCGCTCCCCCTGAGGAGCCGGCGGAAGCGGTAGCAGCGGGCGATCCGCGGTTAGCGGAGGCGGAAGCAGCGGGGGCGGCTGCCAATGCTGGCCTCGCTCCGCCATCCCTGCTGACGGCCGTAAAGGCCGCTCCGCTGCTCATAAGCGGAGATTCCATCGACCGGACCTGCGCAACCGCTGGTTGAGCGTGAGCGGAGAAGCCGCGGGAAACCCGGAGGGCGACAGAGGCGGCGTTGGCGGCGGCGGTAGCAGCTGCGGAAGCTGACGATGCGATCAACCCCGCTGCTGCTGCAGGGCGCGAGGCGAAGGGAAGAACGATCGTGCTGCTGCTAGCGGCTGCGACAACACCGGTGCTTCTATAAACGAGGGCGTGGCGCATCCGCGATGTTTCAATAGCGAGAGCGCGTTTTCCGGCGTCCTGATTCATGGTGTCGGCTAATATGCCATGTCTTCCCACTACTCGCCTCGCTTTGCTGGAACTGCTGCTTTTACTGCCCAAGGTCCCGCCGTCGCTGCTGTTTTCCCGCCAACCCTCGTAAACCAAGCCGTCGCCTGGGTTGCAGGCATAAGAGTTACATGGCTGCAGCAACTTCGGCTGTTGTTGCTGCTGCTGCTGCTGCTGCTGCTGCTGCTGCTGCTGCTGCGGCTGCTCATCTTGACTAAGCTCCCACCTCCCTGATGCGGTACCCGCGGTAAGCGCGGGTAGCGCAGAGGTATAACCTGAACACGGAGTCCCTTGCGCGCAATCCAGCGCTTGCTGCTGCGCATATGGCGCAGCTAAGCGGTCAATATCGCAGGGTGGAAGGGGATGAGCGGAGTAGGTACGCGAGTTGGCGGAAGGGGAGTGGAAACGGGGGAGCAACAGCAGTGGAGACTCCCCACTGGCAAAGACGATTCGAAGCAAAGGAAGAGCGGCAGCAGCGGGAATTCTAGTGGAGAGGGGACTAAGAGGATCCATGAGGGTGGTAGGGCTGGAGAGACGAAGAAAGCCCTGGATCTTGAAATAAATAAAAGACGCCCGCGCGGCGACCCTAAAATTAGATTGGCTGCCGACCCGAAGGGTAGGGTGGTTTGAGCAAACAGAGAAAGTTGGCAGGGAACAGTATTAGAAATAAGGAGGAATAAGTTACTAGTACTCTGATCCCAGCATATGGCGTTCCGCTGCAAGGAAGAAAAGAACGGCCGACGAATCTATTGGACGGCTCAAGGACGCATTTTCAACGACTCCAGGCGAAGTTCGACAGCCTAGTAATCCTACACTAGACAGTACCAGGCAGAATGTGTGAAGCCAGGTCCTACGAAGCGCTCACTTGATCAGACTACCCATGCCCGTCATGAGGCATAGCCGACCAAACACACGTCTGGGTTGGGAAAGTGAGTGGATTCGCTGGTCTCGGGTTTCCTTGGCTGTGTTTAAAAGCATGATGGGAGGATGGTTGGTGGGGTGGCAGAGGAGGATACAAGCGGCGGCATGAGGTGGAGGGGACAGCGCGGAACCCGACCGAAGGAGGGGAGAGGCCTTTTCCGCCGCGCTGGAAACCGCAGACCGACCTTCCCTTCCCCCGTTTCCGACGCAGCAAGTTGGCTGTGGTTTGGAAACATGCTTGTGTGTGCCCTAAAAATTATGGCTGAAAGGTATAATCCTGGTTTTCCCAAAATAAATAATAATGATCGTTGATATCTGAATTCAGCAATTGAACATTATACGGAATTACATAAGAGCTGCAAACGACTCCAAGCATGTTCAAAACGGGGTTGGTTGGTTCAGAATGATTTCAAACACGTAGGCCTTTGGTAGCGGCAACGCAAAGCAGCGCTTGGCGAGAGGCTGTGTGGTGGGGTGGGTGGGTGGGTGGGAGGTCGTAATCGCAGGCAAGGCTCAGCATCTTCTGCGAAACTATTTTCCAGTTCCGTCAGTATTTCGGGTCTGGTGAGATCCCGTTACGCGTACCCCCATCTCCACGGGTTACGGAAGCATTTGCAGCTCTGACAGGCGCGACAGGTCAGCGGACGAGAATGAGTTGGTGAGAATCTCCTGGATCATATGGAAAGTGCCTCATGTTTTGCTGAGTTTTGACTTGCGAAACACGTGCAGCAGATTTCTCGCACTTCCATTGGTCATGTTTGCTAAGCGCGGCAACAGAGACGGAACAAAGACGCGCGAAGAAATGAATTAAACACCAGTTTCTATGCCCCGCTGGCACTGGTGGCAGCGAGGCGGGCAAATAATGGTGAAGGACATGGGTGGTGGCAAATGGAATAAAACACTTGGTTTGTTCAACAATCGGCGCGCATTGCTCAATTGGATAACATTGTGACTGGTTGTAAATGGCTTCCGAAAATTATGCGGAATCTCAAGCTGACGTGTTCTTCCAGAGAGCCCTCAAACCCAACTGCCTGCAAGCAAGCACGTGCAACACATGTTTTATAATATAACGCATTCTTGCTTAAATCCTTTTCCAAAAAAAAAAAAAAAAAAACACACACACACACACACACACACAAGGTTAGGGTAAATTAGAGATGTAGTAATGCAGGAATAGCTAGATCTAGAGCCATACTCTAGTAAAAGTCCTCCTATACAAATTCTGACCTTCACTAACCTAGAAGGATTATCCCCAAACAGCCCAACAAACTCCTGCTCCCGAAGACATCTACAGTTGCATGTCTAAACATATCCACCCATGGCGTTCCCCCCCCCAATCTCCTGCTCCTCACCCCTTCGATCCACCCAGTCCGCCTCGGCCTCCCCTAGCATAAAGGCTGCCCACAATAAGATCACCCGAACCTGTGCCCTCTGCAAAACTACCCCCACTGCGACCGTCAAAGACCCCACCAAGTATGCTGAGAAACCCGAGCTGGTGCCCCTTCCCACCCCCTTGTTAAGTGCCACCTTTAGATGAACATCCCCTTGCTGTCGTAACCACTGACGGAAACTTCCCCCCAAGCAGCCCCAAGTCTCAAGAATCAACGGGACGAAATGAACCCCTTAGTGCCGCTACAGAAAAAGGTTGGTAGTCCACCGCTTTCCTCCTCTCCCGCTCCTTGGCAGCATAACCAACCGTCCGTCCGCACTGCCTATGCTGTTGCGCCAATAGAGAAAGAGGGTCGACGATGCTCACCTCCAACGCATGTGCTTCTCCGTCCATCGGTCTCCTAACACAGTCCTAGACGCTTCCGGTGTCCCCACAGTAGAATGGGGTTGCTGAGCGCCACATTGGCTTGGTCAAGGACATCGCCCGCACGTCCATGATCCATGCCCGTGCACCCCATTTTCTGTGGCCCTACGCGGTTCGCAACGCCGCCCACCAGGGCCCAAAATTGGTGTTGGCCCACCCAGACTAATCAGGGTTTCAGGCCAGCTCTACCCTGACTCATAGGGTAATTTTTTTCATACCCTGCCAAAAATAGCCTTAAAAATGGTGTACACTGATTATGACGGTGCAAACAAATTCATACACTGGCTTCTTATTTGTTTGTAGCGTTATGACTAAGGGTGTGTCTCAGCTGGTTTGAGGTCAGGCTAGTTATCGTAAGAACGCAAGTGCGATGCCTGGCACCTTATCAATGTTTTGCAGCATCGCCTCTAGGGTTAAAAGTTTGATACCCTATTTTGAAAAGGGTAATCGGGAAAAAGCGGCCGCCCATCAGGGTAAACATAGTATTTTACCCTGATAATTTGGGCCCTGCCGCCCACCAGCTGAACCTCCAGCCGCGTGTCTCACGGCTAGAGGCTTCACCGACCAGTCTTTGGACCGGGTCCCCAGGTGTTGGGTCGGCCTTTCGTATTTGGGGCTGCCTTGCTCTTGTCCGCGACACCTCTGCGGGCAAGCTCTCGGCTTGCGCCATCCCCAGTGTCTTCCTTGGTTTTTCGGTGGTCTCTCCCGACTACGCCTTTTACCACCCGCCCCTCCACCAGTTCCTAGACTCCCGTGAAGTCCGGTTTGACGATTCAGTGTCCTACTACGCCATGTACCCCTGTCGAGGTCTCCCGGCCCCCCCTCCTCCTCTCTTCCTCACACCCTCTCCTCCTCCTGCTCCCTCTCTTCCCCGCACCCTCTCCTCCTCCTGCTCCCTCTCTTCCTCGCACCCTCTCCTCCTCCTGATCCTGCTCCTCCAGGAACCCCCGCCCCCCCCTGGTCCTGCCCCGTCAGGTGTGTCTCACGCTACCCCTCTCCCCTCGGTCGCGTGTCAGGTAGCGTCTCCCTCCTGGCAGTCCTCCTCACAGTCCCCTCAGCAGCCTTCGGCACTTCCGCGACAGGTTACTGTGGACTCTGAGGGTGTTGGAGCTGGAGGTGTTGACACCAGCGGTGCTCGGTCTGGGGGTGCTCGTTCGCGGGGTGCTGGAGCTGGAGGTGCTAGTTTGGGGGGTGCTAGAGCTGGAGGTGCTGGCACAGGTGGTGCTAGTTCTGGAGGTGCTGGAGTTGGTGGTGTTGGCACTGGGGGTGCCAGTTATGGGGGTGCTGGAGCAGGAGGTGCTGGCACTGGAGGTGCTAGTTCAGGGGGTGCTGGAGCTGGAGACACTTACACTGGTGGTGCTACCTTTGGAGACACTGGCACTGGGGGTGCTAGTTGTGAGGAGACTGGAGTTGGATACGCTACTTCTGCGGTGCCCGCTCAGCCTCCCCACCCCCACGACACGCGTCTCCAGGCATCCCGCCGGCGTGCGCATGAGGAGCAAGAGCAGTTGGAGAGGGAGAGGCAGGAGGTGCGGCAGTTGGACCTGCTCGAGCAGCAGCGGCAGCAGCAGCATCATCAGCACCTCCCTCTGGAGCGGCAGTTGTTCCCGCCAGTGAGTGGCCTGCGGGCCCTTGGTCTACCCTCCTCTTCTCCTGCCCGCTCCCAGTCTCCCCCTGCCTTTGGTCCTACGTTTCCTCCTCCTGACGACTCTCCGGCGGTCTGGTCTTCTCCTCGGTCACCGTCTCCTCCTCTTGTTGTCCCACAATACCGTGTCCGTCCCTGTCCTCCGCGTGCTTGACCCTCGTCCCCCGTTACCGACCTCCACACTGCCCTCCTTTATTCTTCTCTTCATCGTTCTTCACCTGTGTCCATTCTCCCGTCTCCTCCTCCGTCCTCTCTTCCTGTCTCCCCTACTCCTATCTCTAACTACTACCGTGCTGCTCGCCCTGTTTTCTCCCGTGTTCTCGCCACTATTGCCACCGACTCTCATTTCTCTCCGTCGTTCGTCTCAGCTCTCACTGCCGCTGTCGCTGAGTTTGCTACCACCAGCCGCCTTGAATTCACCACGCGCGTGGTGCCTGATCCACCTTCCCGTCCTCTGTCCGTCGGGGGTGAGTTTGTCCTTGGCTGTGACGTCCTAGAGGACAGACAGTCTGAGCCGGAGTACTTGGCAGCCGCTTCTCCCTCTCTCTGTGCCATGCTGCTATCCCCTGAGGGAGACCCCGGCGCCCTTGACATACCGACCCCTCGCACGTACCGTGATGCAGTGCCAGGGGAGTGGCTCTTCAAGGTGAAGCGACCGCCAGGATCACCGCCTGTGTTCAAGGCACACTACGTGGCTAGGTGTTTCAATCAGCATGAGGGAGTTGACTTCTTCCAGACCTTCGCCTCGACCCCGAAGATGACGACTCTTCGGGGGTTACTTCACATAGCAGCACAGCGAGACTACGAGCTGCACTCTCTCGACTTCTCCACTGCGTTTCTCTAGGGCCGCCTACACGAGGAGATCTGGTTGCGGTGTCCTCCTGGCTTCACTGACACCTTCCCACCTGGGACCCAGTGGAGCCCGAGACGACCAGTCTACGGTCTCCGCCAGTCGCCCCGTGAGTGGCACGACACTCTTCGCTCCACGCTTCATGACCTAGGGTTGTGTCCTTCTTCTGCCGACCTGTCGCTGTTTGTTCGCGCTGGTTCCACTCCTTTCTTTATACTTGTCTACATCGACGACTTGGTCTTTTCTATAGCAGACAGGGCAGTTCTGGCTCAGGTGAAGTCCGA